CTACTCCTACTACTCCTCCTACTACTGCTGCTACTGCTACTATTTCTAGTACTGCTACTAACTGCTGCTACTACTACTTTTGGGCGACTACGACAACGACAGTGTCGAGGACTGCGACCACTGCTACCGCTGTAACTTTCTAGCAACAGCGCCATGCAACAGTGTTCCGTTGTTCCCAGTGCAAATCAGTGCAAAGTCGAACAAAGAATGTCATGCATATCTTTTGGTCAGGTGCCAGCGCTCTTTGCTTGGCATGGGTTCACCAGCAGGCTGTGCGGCAAAGGTTTTCCAGTGGCTCCAATCTGCCTGCTGATACTTCGGAATCGTGGTCACAAGAAAGAACCCAGACTTGGCTTGAGTCATAGCGCGATGGGCTTTGTTGTGCTGCTGCAGCTCAGACATAGCTGTTACTTCACACATAATAGCCTCTCATCGGTTCGCGTGCTACTCCCAGCGACTCTTGTCTTGTCTTGATGCTAGTTGTAGTGTTTCTACCATTGTGACCTGGCCGGTATTGCAGCTTGCAGCCAGTACAGTTGTTCTTGGGCTCTTGTCGCCTGCTTCACTGCTTCCCATGTCCACGATGACTTTAGACGGGGACGAATCTGCTCTGCCTTGCTCTGTGTCTGTCGTTGCAAGTGTGGCTGCTACCGCAATCACTGCTATCTTTCTTGGGCCGCAAAGCCTTGGAACCAAAACCCTACGCCCTGAGCCCTGCTTTCGATAAGAGGTTCGACGGCGTGGGCCCGGACCTCTGCGGGCGCTGAAGCCCGGCGACTACGGACGCTGGTGCAGGGCTTTCAAGTACGTGGTACTTTGGAAAGTTGGTCAGTGTTACCTGCATTGTCATCAACCTTGCAATTGTTGCGTTTCATATACTTGCAATCTCATGATATGCAGCTGGAGCCTTCGGAGAGCGATGTGTCTCGGGTAGGGCTCTGCGCTCACTCCTGCGGTCCACCAAGCTTGCCAAGCAGTGAGGTTCTTCCAAACAACCTTCCATAATTGTGCTCAGGTAGCGTAAGCCCCTGACCCAGAACCTGTCCAAGTGATTGAAGATATTTGGGTGTGCTTGCCAGATTTTGCGAGTATCTGCCTCGCAGGCTTCTCGCATGCATTTGCATGATGCAGTAGCATCATAAAGAGCTGAAGGCATTTGGATGCGCATGCCTGCAGCAGGGTTGCTGAACACCCCTACACCCGGCCCTTGGCTGAAGCCACTGAACCATCCTGCACCCCGAGCACACACTCCTTCCTCTGCGGCATAGGACTGCCGCCCAAGCTTGCGGGCATGGCATCCGCTTTAGCTGGCCTTCCAAACGACCGTATGAGCACCCCGGCAGACAAAGCTTAGGGTGGTAGCATTTGGTTCACCAATTCTTATTGTAGCATCGGCCGAATCGAGGATGGCCAAACGTGGTGGGGTGGAGAAGGGCGCGGCGGTTTTAGGCAGCCTTCGGCTCCCATGCTCAGGATACCAGCAGCTTATGGCTTTGGCTGCCAAGTGCAATCCTCGGCTGTCAGTACGAGTATGTATACTAGTAGGAGAGGAGTTGTCGCAGCAGCGGGTGTAGGCGTGATAGTATTGCTCAAGTATATAATTCTCTGTGCTACGTTGGTAATGGAAGTGGTTCTATCTTCTAAAGGCTAGAGTAAGGCTTCTGTTGCTGTTGTTATGAGTCATTCAGAGTTTGCTTGCCGTCGGGTGTTGCTGTGAACTACGGTATCTCCCGTTGCGCTTGTCAGTCTCATTATCGTGGTGGCTGACTGTGTAAAGAGCTTGTTGATTCGAGGGGTTATGGGCTTCCCTTCGACTCGATCGTGATTGTTCTTTGCCACTGTACCTCCGCCGATGAGGACGACAAGCAGCGAGAACAGCACGAGGATGAGCATTCGTGAGAACTTGTGGTGGTGGTGGTGGTGGTGGTGGTGGTGGTGGTTGTTTTTTTGGCAGTGGTACTGCTACTACGACTACTACTACT